GATAGGTTTCACAATGAAATCCCTTGTCATTCCTTATGGTTGCATTGCATTCACTGTTGACAGCTTCACAAGGGAGGACAGCTGATGGCTGATCAGCTCTTATCTCAGGGTGGTTCATAAATAGAGGCTGAAAAGCTCAAAAAGCAAATGTCAGCAAAATTATTATAATTTGAACGGCTTCATTATGCATTTGTATTGTACCTTGTTTGTTTTGTGAAAATGTGATTTAGCCATCGTGTGAAAAGAGAGATTGGTAGTATTTTATTATTCATAACTGTGGCCAGGATACACCGAGAGAGGTCATAATGTCCCATTCAGTTACACTTCATTAAATATCAGCAATTACACTGTGTTACAGGGTTAAAGAATGCATGAGCTCTAATGACTTTCCTTGCAAACTTTGTTGTAGTCATAGAATTACACCTTCTGGCTTTATTGCCTTTCAAGTGATTCCATATTTTATTTCTTGACACTTTTAACCATTAAGTTTTTTTCCCCAACCATTCTTGAAGCACAGACACATTTAGAAATGACTGCTCACTCTCTCTCACCCCCCCTTTCAATCACCCCTGACAGTTACTTAGAACAGATGCATCTGCCAGGAGTTGGTGTTGGTGTCCGCATGTTTGTGCCAAGCAAGATCAAAAAGGCAGTTGAATGAGTTTCAAGTAGTGATTGTCCACAGTTCTGCTTTGGATGCAGATCACAGAAAAGATAGAGATGACTTAATCTGAGTTATCCTTGTTTCCCCCTTCTTTAAATCCTCGCTGTGGCAGATTGGACAGACTCCGAGAATGACAAAAAGCTGGGCCAATTGATAGACAGTGATCCGTGCTGAGTGATGGTGGACCGGGGCTTCGTTCCGCTAGCCCATGTGTGTTACCGACTGCATGTAAAACTGAGTGTGTGTACAATTGCTCCAAATTCCTGGGTCTTCAGGTTTGTTCACATGTAAGCACGTGTAGTGTACAGTGCCAACGCTGGCTGATGCATTTGGTTCCACACTACATGTCACTAAATCCTCAGAGATCAAGTCAGTTCAGCTGCAGCAGCTATGATGCAATGAGTCGCTCAAATCTTGCTCCCAAAACAAAAAAGCAACGTTGGCAAAATCACCTTGGCTTTGCAGCTAAGCCGCATTTGACATTACACACATACTGTGAGCACAAAACAAACATGTACAATTTAAGGTATAACTATTGTGCAAAACAACTACATAAGAGTAAAATATTTTACATTTTGTGCCATTCTTTAATAAAAGCTAACATCAGAATCAAATACCGAGGTCCACCAAAGCATTACCAATTGGAAATACATTTGCAAAATGACACTTTTAGACCCCAAATGGGAGTTATGTCTCCACAATTCAACTGTATGAGCACACTAATGCCTCCTAAATTTGTACAAACCAAGCATTCCCACACCACTGTCAAATCTTTAACCACTTGCATGTATATCTGTTGTGTGTGCGTGTGTGTGTGGCCTATATATTATTATTAGTGTGTGCATGTGTGTGTCTCCTGACCTTTAGAAGATTCTGTCTTCTATAGAGAGGCTGTCAGGTAGCACTTGCCGGAACATCACAGATGAGGTGTTTAAATGTTTGTCTTCCTTCCCAGGTGATTTAGTCATTATTTAAGTCATTTCAGGTCTTTTTGTTGAAAGGTACATATTTTTAATCTAAATCCAATTTAGCTAGCCGTGCTGGTGATTGTGTTGAACATGAAACTGCTTGTCAGGTGCAGGGGAGGGGGTATCAGGTAAGGGAGAAAAGGCGCAGGAAATAGACATGTCCGTTTGTGCGTATCTGTCTATCCATTGACTGTGACCCATAAAAGTGAATATCGGTGTGCATCTATCAGTCCTTAGTCAGACTGCACTCTGTTCAGTTCCTTTTTTTAGTCACAATCATGTCAGAAAAGTGTGGCCTATTATGCAGTTAGTCAGACAACAAAAGAGCATCAGAATTACAGAAAAGGCAGTTTTCAGCCCAAGCAGCACTTTGTGTTTTATGTGAAAGCACAATGAAAATGAAAGACTAAAGAAAGAGATGCATACAGAGAGCTTAGACAACTTGAGTGCCCAAGAAAAGATACTGTGCATTAGCGCTTTTTTTCACATTTCTAAAATTGTCATTGTCGCTGGGAGAGAACATGGGACACAATATGTATTTTATTACTTAGCTCAAATTTTTAAAAAGGTCTCATTTTTGATAAAGGTGTATTTTCACTCTTTTAAATGTCTTTTTTCATTAAAAAAAGACACACTGGGGTTTTGAATAGTCTATGAAATAAGTGACAACTTTGGAATCAGTGCTGTTCATTTACTTTAAAAACGGTCGTCTTTGTATGAGTCTCACTAAGCACCATTTATAAGTGCAAGTTTGTCATATTGTGATGGTTATGTGTAAGTAGAAATAAAAAGACAAATCTAGGACAAAAAAGGGAACGAATAAAAAAACAAACATTTGGTATCAAGCAGTTGTATGTAGGTTACTCAGGCAGGTGGAAGCTCTAATGGGACATGTTGTTTCATTCATCTACAAATCAAACAGATGGAAACAGAGGGAGTCAGAGAGAGGTGTGAGTTACTGAGGGAGTAAAAGATGTAAAGGGGACGGGATATAAACTGATAGAGAGTGAAGAAAGGCTTTTAAGTCCACTGAGATAAAACAAGTTACAGTCAGTGCATACACACAAACACACAGATGCACTCAAACATACATTTATATTTTGAGAACAGGGCTATAGCCTAGTTAAAGTGTCCCAAACCACTGTAGGAGACTGGGATAAGTGAGCTGAGAAGTGATGCTTCTTGAGGCTTTCTGACTTTGCATGTGCTGTGAAGTTCTAGACCTTCAACTTAAAGTAGACACAAGATAAAGTTTCTTTTAATAGATGGGGATGATGATGATCATAATTAAGATCAGGGAATTGGTACTTAAGAGGATTATCCAATTCTATTCCCCTTTGGCAATTGCAAGGACCTTGATAACAGGGCATCTTTACACAGCAAGGAAGTTGGGGCATCGGGGAATTTTCGACAGGCAACATCAGAATGAAAACTGGTAACTGCATGTCACAAAGCCTATTTGAGGTAGACTTTGAAGATTTAAAGGTGGTGCTCTGCGTCTGTGCTAAATCTGAAGAGCAGATATTTGGCAGCTATAGCAAACAGCCACAGTGCTGTAAATCTTGTCGTTAAACACAGATGGGAGGTTGTAAACCCAAATTATAGGAATGATTTTTTCCCCTCTGCCACAGTGTGGCTTGTGTGACACACGAGGCGCGGTCTTTCCGAAGTCGATCTAGACAGCAGCATTCAGTCAGTGAGACCGTTCGTGTGGAGGCAGGAACGATGCTTTAGTCCACGGCAATATTGACTGATCTGCAGAAGGTTGTCTCTGTTAACTGATTCGTTGTGTTCTCTATAAATGGCAGGAGAAGGAAAAATAGCTACAAGTGACATATTCACGCTATAGGCTCACACCTAATGATGCAGTTTACTGTTATGTGAGGCAAAGTGAACGTCTCTACGTTCTGTTGTGAAATATTTTGTTTTAAAAATGATCAAAAGCATTACACTGCTTCTAGTGGGATGGTCAACATTGTGGTGTTTGCCAAAAAGGTCAGAATAATTTTTTTGTAATGAACAAAGTGCCCAGAGAGACCTTGTTCACATCTCTCTCGAACTTAACTTTTAAAAAAGGGGGAAAGCCTGACCCTCGTGTTCGGTTCTCGAGGGACACTAAAAGTGGCTCATAGCTCCCTCAAGTGGCAAGTGAGTAACCAGCAGCGTCACAGATGACCTCTCCTCTGTGAATATGTGCATCGTGTGTTAGCATGTGTAAGCGTGAATGTTTGTGTGCCACATTCTTTCATGCATAATCAAGTTCGTGCTTTATGAACTTGTTCTGATGCGACAACAGCAAATCCTTTAGCAAATGACTCAGGCTGTTTGTAGCTAAAAGCCTGTTATCTGCCTCTCAACTTTAAGGGTGGATTAAAAGCAGGATTCCTATACTTTTCAGTCTTCTTAATAGCTGCAGACAAATCCCCTCCCACCCGCTACACAGGACATGATTATGAGCAGTTCTTTAACAGTGAGAGTACACTAAGAGTTTCTCAGGCACTTTCATATTAAATATGTAGGCTTGTTTGTTTTGCTGCTTTGAAGTTCAAGTGCATTCCTACTTCCTTTGCCTGCTTTGCTGTTATCTCCTCTCCTCTGCTTCTTTCCTTTCCTCGCCATTTCACTGTCTTCTCTCTTCGCTCTCCTTTGACTTTATCAGCCAACCTCTTACTCTCCTTTCAGTTCATTTCTATTCACTTGCACTCTCCATATGTGTGTTCTATCCACAGATTGCCTTTCCTTCCAATTACATCCTCATCTTCATCCCCAGCGATTTCGTTTCCTTTCATCCTTTTCTCATTTCTTCTCCTCTTCATCCTTAAGTGTGTCACATACCTTTTACCATCTGCATCAACCATCAGTTAAAAATTTAGATCCGTCTTCTGCTTCAAGATGTGCCTCATGAATGACAGTTTAACCATTGTTCCAGCCAGAGTACAACTGAAAATGGCTGTTAGGACCCCCCTGTAAAATAATTAACAGCCTTATTAAGTTTCAAGAGTTGGTAATTTTCTTTTTTTTTTTATGAAAGGTGTCTTTGTCTGTGTAGACAAATTATTATATTACACGAGCTGGAGGGCTGTTTGAAAGGTTCAGTTGAAATGAAACCCATAGTACTTGTCCTTTGAGTCTGAATTGAAGTATGAGGTAAAAGTGAAACTGTCAAACACAAATTACGAATGACAGACTCATAAAAGTATTTTATTCTCTGTTAGCACCCTACTGCCCCACAAGTATTATCTAAGTTGTTTATAGCCACTTACATTTCTGATGTACAGTTTCTCCTAAGAAGGTATTTAAAGTATGAATGGGTCTTGATTCATCAGTACGTGTCTAACATGGTCTTCTTCTCTCTCGTCCCCCTCCAGCTGCCCCGAGCACAGATGATGTGGCGCTCTATGTGGGGATAGTGATCGCAGTGATTATGTGCCTGGTCATCTCTGTCATCGTGGCGCTCTTTGTCTATCGCAAGACGCACCGCGACTTTGACTCTGACATCATTGACACATCGGCACTAAATGGAGGCTTCCAGTCTGTTAATATCAAGACAGCCAGATCAGGTAATGAGCGTTTGACATTTGATTCTGAGGGGAAATACAGAAACTCTATACCGAATGTTTACAGTATATCTATCTATATATATTTATATGCATCCAACACAAGTTTAAAAGCAATTTTGTTCTTCTTCTCCGACGCAACGGTGTCTTTCTAAAGAAAAAAATGTATTACAATAAAGACAGGTACAGCAAGTTCAATCATTTTCTTTATGAACCACCTTGAAGTGGTGTTTAAATGCAGTGAAATTATTTAGCCTGTGCAGCTCAATGGTCCATCAATATTGGTATGACAGCAAAACAGAAACACTACAATGGTTGGAGACAGAATCAGGGTCAGCTGGAACTCTTTCAAGTTGACTTATGTGATGTACTTATTTATATTCACTGTATTACCCTTATAGATGGCAATCAGCACACCCTCAATGTCAAAACAAAAAGTTTTTCTATGTAAAGCTACAGATTTTGTCAAAGAAGGCTGGTGGCTTGAAGAGAACTTTAGTTCCTCTCCAGACAGAGCTGTCTGTTTGGCAGGATAAAGAGGAAAAATCTATCTTGGTTGCCCCAAAATCCAGTTTCAGTCAGACTACATACAACCTTACTTCAAAATATCCCTGCTATGCTCACTTTAAACCGATTCTGAAGGCTACTCAGGCTAGTCGGATAATTGCTGTTAAGTAGGAACTTGACAGCAAGGGTCTGCCTACCTTGTGCTCTCTCAAAGAGAGCACTAGAAGTTGTCCTAGAGTATCACTATAGCCACTGATTGATACAATAGAGAGATAAATACACAGAGAGACTGATAGAAAACAACAGATATGACCATTTGTCAATTGAAATATTGTTGTGTGTCCCATCCACTTTAGAGCTTTGACACTAGTATCATTTTGTTTCATTTCTCTGCTTCCTCTGATGTTTTGGATTAATCTCTTTCCACCTGACACTGCTCTCCTCCATCAAAGAGTCTCTCTCTGTCACTCTCATTCTGCTCTTCACTTTTTCCCCCTCGACCTTCATATCTGCACATTCAGTTCAATCATATTTCCTGTTTATCAGCATCCTCCTCCCTTCATCCCAGTCTCCGTGTCTCTGTCTTCCCATAGCTATGTGACTCCAGCCACAACAGACACTCCCTCATGTTTATCTTCCTTTTAAAATGGAGCTATATTTCACTGTCTGCTGTCTGTATTGTCATTTCTTCCTCTCTGCACACGTCCACAGAGTTAAAAGCTTACTGGAAAAGCCAGGAAGAGGAAGGGAATTTGTATTAATCAGGTGTCAGTCCAAAGATGCCATTAGGTCGGGTTATTCTTGTAGAAAGAAATGACATAAACACCTTGATTTAAAATCTCTTAACACAGACCTGCACAAACGCAGTAAAAGTTCGCCTACGTGAAGCGAGTAGATCCTACAGCCAGACATGTATTCATACATTTCCACAACTTTGAATGACACACTCTAAAAGAAACTAAGCAAACGCTCAGTCTGTTTTCATCATAGTCAGCTGCACTTTATGGTCTCCATATGAAAAGCATTTTTGAAAAGGGTTACATTTGCAAATATTTCAGAGTGTTCTTTAACGGTGTGTTCATTTGTGGCCGAACATTAACATTGAAACCATAGTGTGCATGATGAGGGTGTGCAGTGCTAATTGGTTAACAGTGAGCTAAAATGGTTGTGCATGACTGTGCATGTGTGTGTGGACAGGAGAGGAGTAAACTTGTTCCTATGTGTAGAGACAGTGTGACATTTTATCAGTAAAACATTAGGATGCATGTCACTCTGTGTTGAGGGACCATTTCCGATTACAATTAATGAAGAATTATGTCCCAGCGTGTTTCTCTCTCTCTCTCTCTGACTCTCTCGCTCTCTCTGACTCTCTCGCTCTCTCACTCTCTCTCTCTGGCTTTCTGTTAGTTGTTAATTAAATTTCAGCAGGGATGATTTGGCAGGAATACCCGCTGGCTTTAAGGGTAAACAGCCTGGTGATAGAGAAAGGAAGAGAGTGATAGGCAACAGATGTGTGTGTGTGCGCGTGTGTTCGTGCATACATGTTAGTGGTGGTGGTGGGGGGTGACAATGAAGGAAATTTAAAATTAGAATGGATGGACTCTTAGAGAGAACAACAGGTTTTCAGAGTCTGAGCCCAAAAAAATAATCGGGATTTGTTCCTTAATAGGTAACTGGTCTTCTTGTGATCTCAGTCCCAATTAAATCTTGAATATTTGCAGAATTTTCTGAGAGGGGTTTGTGTAGAAGTAAGCTCTGTTGTGCTTCTGCCCTTAGGGTAGCTTCTGTGCTTCTAACGTGGTTATAGCAAGATGGTTCTACAGAACTGTTACAGGGCTGCTCGAAGCACATTCACTTGAATGGCTTTGATGAAGTTTAAGTAAATGTCCGTCAGCAGAACTATCTAAAAGAACTGAGGCTAACATTCTAGCAGACAAAACATTGCTGTTACTGTGAGTGATATCAAAGCATTTGTAATTACTTAACTATTTATTTTATGATTAAAAAACAATAGGTCAGTACTGTATGGATCCTAAAGAAGCCATGCGTGAACCTGCTGTTGCTGTGGTGGTTATAGCTATAATTCAGTGTCTCATGCACTTTTATTACCATACAGTATTGATGTAGTGTGCATGAACCTTTTCACAATAAGCACAACAGGAAATCAACAGGAGAGCCTTACCTATCCCTTCCCATGTATAGTGCATGTGGCACATGTTTATGGTGTGTGTATCAGTATGTGCTTTATAGTGTTCGTGTTGTTGGTACACAAGGCACATTTGCATGTGCGAGTGCTTTTGTAGTACCAACCTGTGACAATGCACTAGTGTTTTGTTTATGACAGTGCTTCTGTGTGTAAGTGGGCTGCTTGTTTGCTTGCAATACATCAAAAGAGTCAAGATTCCCCCATTAGCATACGTCAGCTGTGCCAGCTTAAGAAAGAGCAGGGTAAAAACTTCAGGATATACAAAGACTCTAACACGTTTTGCAGCCTCAGATCAAACTATACAAGTCAAAGGATAGGGGTTTTTTTTTTATTCATTTGAATTTTACTGATTAGAAGTGACAGACTTCTAATTTTTTAAATATAGTGTGTTAAACAGTTACTTTGTTTATGGGAGACTTTGTAACTTATTACATCTACAATGAAAGATGTAGTAAATCAGAAGCGTGTGATGACTAATGACATGAAAAACAAATGAGAGGCTCTGAATGTTAGTCAAAGATCAAAGTGCCTTTGGCCTGAATTATGATTGAAATGACAGCATTCAGTGTATTTTCAAAAGTAACATAGTCTGATGATTTTAATAATGTCATAAAAAATTGTTCATATAGTGTATCATCACATAAATGTATATTATGTATTATACCTATTCCAAATAGTGGAAAATAGATACATGAATGAGTATTAACACAAGTTGAATGTCACTCTGTACGCACTAATGTTATTTCGGTTTGGAAGAAAGTAGACTCTGATGAGAGTTTTAAGAGCTTATAGCACAGCTTGAAACTGAACTGTTGTGTTGTGAGATAGTTTTGATAATACACATGTTTAACTCCTGGAGATTTGAGTGTTTTTTGAGGTGAAGTAGAAGTCTCTTGCTCTCTCTGTCTCTCTGTTCAGCAGCCATGACTAGTCCTTCATGCAGCCAGGTCATGCCCCCGTGTACAGCAATGTATTATCCCAGACACTGATAGCTTATCAGCAGCCTTGACTGACTCTTCTTCCTCCCCCTTTTTCCTTCTCACTGATCTTGCTACAACTTCTACACATCTGTCCCCAGCTTCACGCACGCACGCACACACACACACACACTGCACTATACAACACCATAGATTTACTTTAGCTGGTCTGTCTTTTCCCTGAACCGCTCTGATATCATGTTGTAAATTCTCTCGTGCTTCTGTCTCTCTTCTTGTGTCAATTTTACCCCTCTAGCTGATTTGCTGACTGCTCCGCCAGACTTAACAAATGCAGCTGCCATGTATCGGGGTCCAGTCTATGCTCTTCATGATGTTTCAGACAAAATTCCAATGACCAACTCTCCTCTCCTGGATCCTCTTCCCAACTTGAAGATCAAAGTGTACAACTCTTCTGGACTGGTCACACCTCAGGATGACCTCGGAGGAGACTTTACGTCTAAACTGTCTCCTAAGGTAGTGTTGCCCAACACTAATATCCTTGAGCTTGTATCTTTTTTTCTGCTTGAAAGCATTTTGTGTGATCACAGTAGGCTATTTCCTCCTGTCTGTATTTAATCTGCAAGAGCAGTGTGAGAGATTCTACAGCACAGCACAGCTGCGCATGTCTTCCCAGTCACATGAAGACACTACACACCATTAGTATACATGCGGCTAAGTGCCCCACTTTCCCTCCCTGCTCTGTCAAATACATGGCATGCATACTAGAGTCAGTTGTCACAAATACAGATGAAACCGCTCAGTTTCATCACAGCACCTGTCCTCAGGCAGTACGAGGGCTGAACTCTCCATCTTTGAACTCTACAGATCAGTTGCCACCTTTTGATGATTTTATCTGTTTCTTTTTTGTTTTTGTTTTTTTATAATTGATCGCATGCTGTGTCTAATGACTGACCTTGCCAAGGTAATTTGTGGATTTTTTTATTATTTATTTTCTTTGTTTATAGTCTGATGTGTTCATCCTTAGTTTAGCGACGTTAGTTCTTCTCAACTTTGTGTGATGCTGGAGTAAAACAGTGAATATCAAATCCTTCATTTACATTTCACCCTGAGGTGATCATGCATCACCCCCGTCCCCAGGCAGATGGAGGTCTTACCTGTGGCATCATAATGAACAGAAAAGGAACTTATGCAAGTAAAAAGCATAATTGATCAATAAAGTCAAATTTTAGAAGAAAAGGGACCGATTACAGTTCCATTGTAATTCTTGTCCTGACAAAAATAAAAATGAGATTGACACAGTGAAGCTTCTCTGGACTTTCATGAGATTTTTGCTTTTGCTTTTTCTTTGTTTTGTTTTTGCTTTAGGCTACATATTTAATGTGATCCGACACGAGGTCTTTCAGAGGAATTCAATCCTTTAAACCGCATTGCATTCTTTTTCTCCTTATGCATTTTTGAACCTCATTCACCCTTATCGCTTTAAGCTTTTGCATATTGCTTTTATGCATAACGGTGGACAATGTCTGCCCACATAAAAGATCTATTAACTCATTCACTGCCATTGACGTCTATAGCCGTCAATAGCAGTGAATGAGTCAATGGGTTTAACTCATTCACTGCCAATGGCTGGCAGTGAATGAGTTAAAAAAAGATACTTATTACATGGTTACTCTAACATTGTTTGCAGAAAGAGTCAAGCATCTATTCATGTTCTTCTTGTTTAAAAGACGTGTAACAGAGCTTTCAAAAAGTAGTGTTTTCAAATGTGAATGTAGCTCTGCTGATTTGTAAGTGTGTACAGTGTGCATCTTCTTCCTGTGCTGCTGTGGGTTTTCTCTGGGAGCTTTGGTTTCCATCTACAGGCCTAGGACACGCATGTTAGCTTGAGCTCTTGGGTATGAGATAAAAAAACACTTAAAGTGCACAGGATAAAGCACTGTAAATGTTGCTGGTACTATAAAGTGCTTTGAGTGGCTGGTAAGACTAGAAGATACTATATAAATGCCAGGCCAATTTGAATAGCATGTGTCATATACAATACTGTAATGTTTTGTTAATAAGATAAGATAAGATAAGATAAGATAAGATAGAACTTTATTAATCCCTCGGGTGGGTTCCTCTGGGAAATTCGACTTCCAAAAAAAGTCAAAAAATATCACTGTTACTGTTCTTTTATCAACATAGGTAACTCAGTCCCTGTTGGATAACAGTGACACCATGAACCTTCGCAATCAGAGCTTGGCCCGAACACGAGATCCTTCCTGTACTGCTCATGGATCCTTCAACAACCAAGGAGGACACCTCATTGTACCCAACTCTGGTAAACGTGCCACAAGTGTTTAACAGCAAAAATGGTTCCTGTGCAGTGACAAGACCGCAAACAGGGAGAGTTGTATCATTTTTCTTGCTGATTAGTAACAGTAATCAGTAACAGCGATCACAGTAAAGTTAAGAATATGTGGCAATGTTTGTTTTAGTGATTTATTCAGATATATTTCCTCTACTGGCCTCTGACTTCATTAGATACTTAAGCGTGTAAGTACCTTTGTTGATACTGTTGCAGTCAGATTCATATGATTTAGTGATGAACCAAGATTTCAAAGGAAAAAAAGAATAAAGGAAAGCAGCAGCTGTATTAAGGTAAAGATGTGTTGTGTGACCTGTTGATGAAAAGCAGCTTTCAAAGGCTGTGAAATATTGCATTGTAATGGAGTATTTAAGACAAGGTTTTACATGGGTTGCCTTTAAAAAGATTATCATTATGATTCATTACTTAATAAAGTGTTGATGGGTTTCACATTCAGTAATTCAGTTGTGCATGGTGAAATTGATAAATCCAGTGATGAAACTCATTCATTCTGCTTCCTCTGTCCTTCCTCCTGCAGGAGTCAGTTTGTTGGTTCCAGCGGGTGCTGTTCCTCAGGGCAGGGTGTATGAAATGTATGTGACTGTGCACAGGAAGGATAGCTTGAGGTAGGTTTTGTCTCTCTTTCCCCATTTTCTTTTCTTTTATGTGGCTGTTTCCTTTCAATTGTTCACTGCTGTCCTTATTTTTCTCTTCATCTCTGCATCTCCCTCTGTGTCCTTTTTTTGTTGGTTTGTTTGTTTGTTTCCTTTGTCTGTACTTCTCTGCCTCTGCCCAGATCAGTGGCTTCTTGTAGCTGTTTGTATGGCGGGGTGAGGAAGCTTTCATAGTGTGACACGGACTTACAATCTATAAGAAAGGGATATATTATAGTGCATTCACATATACCTTTTTTGTGATTCATTCAGCAGAGGTCAGTTTGTGGCACAATGCATATTATAATACCAGAATTAGAGTTAAGTTAAGCAGCTTAAAATGGAATATTTGACACATTAATTACTACCGACTTAACATCCTAATCTGTACACTAATCCATTAAATTTACATTGTTAATCAGGTTTTGATTCAGGACTATATTTAAATGTAAGGCTCTTAAGATTCATTTCTTTGAAATATGCCAAACTACAGCAGACCGTTGTGCGACCAACTGATTGGTTTTAACTTCATGCTACATTATAAAGCCAAAGAACAGAGCTTTTGAAACCGTATGTAGAGAGATCACTGCAACGACTGTAACTAACAGATTAGTGGTTATTTTTGAGAATGCTTTAATCTTGTTACATGTTCTATAACCCTCCCCCCTCCCAAAAAAGTACATACATCATGTAGGTCGCTCTCTCTTTGTTAAAGTGACAAGGCACACTGATTTTGATTCGGTTAAAAATTGATGTTCACCTTGGAATCAATACGGAGCAAAATCCATTCATATTTACTTGAAGGGGTTTTTAAAATGGGAATCTTAAAACCTGGATAAATACAACCAAGAGGGTCCAAATGACTATGGACAATGGAGAGACACAGTTTGAGTCATGTATGTTGTTCCATGCACTCATTTTACACTCTCTTCAATCAGCAGCAGTCAATAGGAATTAGGCCCCGTGCAACATGCTGCAGTATTTCTAAGAGTCGAACATGTTTTCAGCCCGCTGTGTTTACACAGAACATCACATAGCTACGTTTACTTAACTCAGCAACCCTTGCCTAAGGTGTCAGATTAACAACAAACAAAAGTCAAAGCATCTCTTGTTGTATTTGCAAGATAAAGGATACAGAACATCATAAATCAATAAAGCTGTAATTCATTAAGGGGTGACCTCAGCATTAGGTAGTTAAAAGGGTGCTATAGTTTCACTCCCACTGTTTTTATCTTTGTTTTTTCTACCCATGTGAACCCTTTATGAGTCAATAATGAGCCCCAGCAGCTGAATCGATAACACTGCTAAGGATTAGCTCTCCCTTGACACAAGGTGGGCTGAAAAAAAAAAACAACAGAAGAAAAACATTGTTAATATTTAGATCTATCTCCTCTATCTGTATGGCCTCATTCACAGTCAATATATGGCTTCAGGAAGATGAGGGATAATGGATCGTACTGGCATTTGACTTGTATATTTTTTGCGTGTTGTTTAAGTATCTGGTTTCAATTTTCAGTTTACAAATGAGACTGCTATGTATGATCTTGTGGATGTTGAAGTTTTCTGCTGCAGTACTGAGTCATACATTAGTTAGTGAGTGCTTGAGGTTCCAACATTTAGATGTATAAAAAGCACAAGAGTGTATGATTAGTAGCCTTTTATTTTCTGCCCCGTGAGCTGCAAGTTATTGAATCCAACTGAGGCTGACTATACAAATCATTCTCCAATAGAGTTTGTTCTTGCTCTGTTTTTCTTCTGTTCTCTACGTTGCAAAGGTAATCTATTCCCCTCACACGTAAATGTCCAGTTTTGTACTAGTGCATCTCAAAAAATTTGAATATTGTGGGGAAACTTGTTTTTTTCTTTTTTCCTAATTCAGCTGAAAAGGTAAACAGACGTTTTTAATGATAATGATGGCTTATAGCATGAAAATCAGAAACCTGGTATCTAATATTATTAGATTATTTTCTATGATCAATCAAAAAAGCATTTACAATACACACATGTCCAATTCTGAAAAGTATTTTAGTCTACACTGCTTTAACACAAATTACTGCATTACTGCTTGTGGCATGTAGGCAGTCAGTTTGTGGCCCTGCTGAAGTGTCATTGAGGGTGCTTTGATAGTAACCTTTCACTTATCTGTGTTTTTTATTTAAGTGGATTGTCATCGTTTTGACAATACTCCATAGATTATTTATGGAGTTCAGGTCAGGTGTGTCGGCTGGCCAATCAAGCACTGTAATAATACGGCGAGTTGGTAGTAGTTTTGACAGTGTGTGCAGGTGCCAAGTCATGCTGCAAAAGGAAATCGGCTAAGCTTGTCAGCAGATGGCAGCATGAAGTGCTCTAAAGCCTCTGAGTAGATGCCTCAGTCCTCTCCTTGTGAAGCTCTCCCAAGTTCTCGAATTGACTTTTCTTGACAATCCTCTCAAGACTACGGTGATTCCTGTTGCTTGTGCACCTTTTCCTTCCAGTCAACTTTCCATTAATACACTTCGATGCAGCGCTCTGCAAACGGACAGCCTTTTCAGCAGTGACCCTCCTTATGGACAGTGTCGATAATCACCTTCGGGAGAATTGTCAAGTCAGCAAGCTTCCCCAGAATTATGGTTGTGAGTACGCAGTTAGACAGAGAGATGCACGGTGTTTAAACTGACTGAATAATAATTTACTCAAAATTACGTAACCCAAAATTTTGAGATACTAGTTTTCTGATTTTTGTGAGCAAAAAAAGGCTTAAAATATTTCTCTTTATCCACAATGAATGTGGACTATTTAAGGGTATCAATATATTAAGATTAGAATAGAATTAGAGTATATGAAGATTCTTTAGTTGTCCAAAATATTAACAAGGTAAAAACAAAACACAGACCTGAAGGGAACCAATTTAGCTTTGTGCGATTGAAGCTCGCAGTAGCTGGGATCCGACAGCGCAGCCCTCCTGTTGCTCTTTTCTGTCGTGTCACCTCAGTGTTATCTGTGTTTCCCAGACCCCCAGTAGAGGACATCCAGACAGTTCTAAGCCCAGTGGTGAGCTGTGGACCTCCAGGAGCCCTGCTGACCAGACCAGTGATTCTCACCATCCACCACTGCTCTGACAATGTCCAGGAAGACTGGCTCATACAGCTGAAGAATCAGCTGGCCATGGGAGAATGGGAGGTGAGCGTTCAGCTTTGTGTCCTTTTTGTTTGTGTGCACTATTTATGTTCCACTGTTTTTAGAGAGAGGCAACATACAGCTTTTGAAAAGAAAAGCTGTCGCTGTGTTGCCAGCTAATGAGAAATTGAAATTTCTGACGGATGTGAATACACAGAGATGCACGTGTACAGTAAAATCTTCTAAATGTGAAAAAGTCTGCAAATAATTGTTTACACAAAGTAATGGCAAACCTGCCCACAGCCATAACCAAGTAAGTGATATGCAGTCATTTGCACGGTACACACACAGCATATAGAGGAATAACCTGAATTACACATACACTCTGTGTATTCATTGAGCGAGAGAGAGGAAGAGATGGCGAGAAGGAGAGAAAATTTGGTAAACAGAAATTGCCTACAGGCTAGTAGACAAGCAGGGGGTTGAAGACTCCTATCAGAAGCAATTTGTTATGCTTCTGCCATCCTCCTCTTCTCTCATCTTTCTTCTTATGCTTCTATCTCTCCTTTTTTTCTATCCTTCTCTTCCTCTCTCCTCCCGTGTCTCTCAGCATGAAGTCTCTACCTCAGCAATCTACTGCGTGTGTCTGTGTGTGTGCGCATGTGTGCATCCTTGTGTGTGGGTGTGGGTGATAAGACTGTCTTGCAGCATCACTGTGTCTACAAGGCGCCCGTATGCTGTCTTCTGTTGCTTATCACAGCTCAACACAATGTCTTTGCACAATTAGCCATGCATAAGAGTGTGTGTGTGTGTGTGTGTGTGTGTGTGTGTGTGTGTGTGTGTGTGTGCACGTTTGTGCGTGTGAGAGTGAGAGAGATTCAGAGGAGAGGCTCGGTGCAGAGTGGTTAAAAAAAAAAAACAAGAAAAATGAAAAGTGGAATTTCATCAGGAAGTCGATTTGTTTTTCTTTTATTGCAGTAGAACATCCATTTCCCATCACAAAGTTTTCCCCAAAAGAGTGAGAGGAAAGGTAATTGAATTCCCCTCATATCAGGGGGGAGCAGCCACAGTTGTGATTACCAGTAATAACAGATTCCTACCATACTGCTTCCTGACCTCTTTGTATTGATTCAGCTCATCTGTAGGAACACAACCCCGCATGAACTGTGATTCAATACTCAATATTTGTATCACACGTTAACGGAGTCACACAAGCAAACATGGATATCTGCACAACTAATTGCGGATCCAGTGGTCACATAATAAGAACACAGATAGCCTGTGCATCCTCCGTTAACCAAGAGAAACGCATGGGTTTACCATAACTCAGACTGCGACAGGGAACTGTAGAAACGATATGAGCTACAGCCAGCAGATATCCCACAGCGGGATTGGACACACTTCACAGACAACCTCTTTAACCAAGTCTCATCATTCTCCCGAAGTACACACTGATGTACTTCTATAAGTATATACAGCAAATACACTTACAGTGTGCTAAAAAAGATTTATATTCCGTATTATATTCATGCGTGTTGGAAAAACCTTCTTTTTTTGTTGTTAAACTACAAGCAGTGCATCACATACTGTCTTTTTGCAAGTAACAACTCAACAATAATAACTGTGCTTTTTTTACCTTTTAAAAATCCTCTAGAGTTAAGAAAACCTCTTAACTCAATTTGCATAAAAACAAAAACGGCAAACAAACCTGTTTATAGGAGCGGAATGCATTTGAAATAAACCGCAACCTTGCTTACTTATGGGCTGTTTGCATTAGTGGAAAAGCTTCCAAATGCAGGTGCTGTCAGGTTATGTTAACAGACAGGATGTGGCTTAATGCCCATAAATTCTCAAATAAAGCCTGTACTCAAATAACAGCCAGCTTTTAACAATAGTGGTCTGTATGACCAAACGAAGGACAGCCCTAAAAAAAAAAAAAAAAAGGTGGGAAAACAAGATTAACCAGACCATGGCTCACTTTGTAAATTCACTTTGCAAATAATCTACATTTTCATGGTCTCTTTAACAATACTCTGCTCTATATTGATCACATATGTTGTTTTAAGCCAAACACTGTTGTCACGCAGTTTTGCTCAACGTGATCCTACTGTGACATTTATCTCAGGTTTAATGCTGATTAAATCTACCGTTTTGCTAAGAAAATTTTAAAAAAAAAAGCTCTTCAGATGAGAAAGGAAATTTTGGCTATGAATGTCTGGAGCAGTTTTAATATGAAACAGATTGAGCAAGTGTTAAGTTTAATTTGACAACAGCACCTATCGTGGATTTAATTTAAAAGGTGGCCTTTCTTAAATGAAAGAACTTTTTGATTGAGATGAGTAAAGGCTCACATGGTATTTCAACAGTACTGTGTTAAAGAACTTCCAACATTGCATTCACAGCCACCCGTCATAGGCACAAAATGGTACTGTGTATAAAAAACATTTTCTCCTTTTTTTTGTATCTGGTTCCTGAAGGATGTGGTTATAGTGGGAGAGGAAAACTTCACCACCCCCTGCTATGTGCAGATGGACTCAGAGGCATGCCACATTCTGACAGAGACACTGGGGACGTACTGCCTGGTGGGCCAGTCAATTGGCAAAGCAGCTGCCAAGAGGCTCAAGCTGGCTGTTTTTGGGCCCGTTTCCTGCACAACTTTGGACTATCACATCAGGGTCTATTGTCTGGATGATACGCAAGATGCACTCAAGGTAAAGAATTGAAGCTAAATAAATCCCAAGCCAAGTAGTATTTTTTCCACTTGTGTTTTAATAGACATATTAGATAAATAGAGTACGTATTCACCCCCAGTGCCTTGAATAACATCGAAGGCATTTGATACTATCGGCTAAAAGTGTTGCTGTATTTATTAGTGCTGTGAGAGATTTAGCTCTCTCTTGGACTACCCATACTAAAATGCTTTCATGATAATTTACATTTGAAAAGAAATGTATATATAAGCATTTGAACAGAAAGGGCTTCACAGAGTCGTAAATAGAAGCTTCTGCACCTCTTGTCTTCTGGAAATGAGCTAAGGAGGAGTAAACAACACAGGGTCAAGCAATGTCAAAGCAGCAGTGCTGCTGAATTCAAACAAATTCAAAGCACTGGAGGGACCACCTGATATGGGAGATTAACAGTGGTAATTTATGCATGCAATGTTAAGTCAAGTGTCAGTGGCACACAGCCATGCACACTCTTGCACAAACATAAAAAAACACGCAATTGTAGCTCTAATTGAGAGTTCAGGGGTGTGCTTTTCTTTTCCAATGATGAGGACTTTGTTTAGTATGATTGATAGGCTGGCTGGAGGAATTGATTATTTTGAAAAGGTTGTAGGAGGCATCAAAATTCAAACGGATAACTTAGTATAAACGAGTGCTTCTGTGTGTATTTTCAAGAGCCAATTAATATGGCTCAGATATAATTCTGTAGTATTCTCTTGGTGTGAACTTACCCAAAAATACATACAGATGTCTTTTTTATTAGGGTCAGTAAAAATCCCCACAAAATGAAAAATAACTTTGGTACTTTCGTAGTGTTTTCTTCCCTGCACAATTGGCTAAACAATGAATGGAGTGTGTCATTTTTATATTGAAATCAAACACAGTGCGTTGCAACAAACAATCCACAATAAGTACTTCGCTTCACCTTTAGATCTGGAGTGAGGTTGTCCTTTCTCATCCTTTGAAGCTAGACAGGCTTTATTGCTGAATTTAAAACTAGATGCAACAACCATCATAAAAGACGAAAATGTAATCATTTGTAATAGGTTTATTCTTTTAGTGTATTAAAGCCCAGAGTGTAAGCAATATGATACATTGAAGTCATCTTTTAATGCCAATAGAAGTAATTTAATTTTACCATATTGCATTAAAGATATGCTTCATTTCCTCATATCTCAAAACAGCAGTACATTGACTGGTGGGGCATTATTAATCAAGGGTTTTATTGAGCCTCTTAATGTGTCTTTTCAGTTCAGTGCGTTTAGCAAAGCAAAGCTTTGCTTAAAATCAGGACATACAAGCATGGAGATGTGTGATGATATCTCATTAAATCTTTAATGCATTTTAGATGTTTTATGGTGCCTTATGTGCAGTAATTTTGCAAATTAAATCAAAGGTCTTATACATTCTCTAATGTATGAAAATGGTCCAGTGAATGAGATGAAGCAGAGGGAAACCTGGAGAGTAAATATAAAGTTGTTATTTCTTTATGTGGGGTTTTGTGTAGGAGGTTCTTCAGATGGAGACCCAGATGGGAGGAAAGCTTCTGGATGAGCCAAAGACGCTGAACTTTAAGGACAGCACACATAATCTGAGGCTGTCCATCCATGACGTGCCAAGCGCACATTGGAAGAGCAAACTCATTGCAAAATATCAGGTAAGAAGGATGCACATGTAGATGCACTTTTAAATGTAACAATTCTATACAGGCACCAAAATCATTTCTGACCTCAAATGGTCACAAAATTTACAAATGTGGAGAAAAGTCCACATTTCAGATGCTAAAGTTATGTTTTTATTGTTAAATTCTGGACAACAGTAGTACTGGTGCATTTACCTGGAAAAAAGATTTTTGAAAAAACGTGTATTTATTTTCTACGTTTGTGCATGTTGTAGGAGATCCCGTTCTACCAGGTTTGGAGTGGCAGTCAGAGAACTCTTCACTGTACCTTCACCCTGGAGAGATTAAGTCCAGCCACCACAGAAATCAGCTGCAAACTGTGTGTACGGCAGGTAGAAGGAGAAGGACAGATCTTTCAGCTCAGCAACACATTGGAGGAGGTAAGCTTGTAGAAATTTACATATATATTGGGGGCGACTGTGTGCTGTCCACTAATCAGAATGTTGTTGGTTCGATCCCCATTTCCTACAATCTGCATGCCGCAGGGTAGGCTACCTGGGCAAGATACTAAACCTTAAAATTGCCCCGGATGTATCATGGGTTTACGTCGTAGTGTGTCTGTGTGTGCATCGCTTGAAGAAAGTGCTTCATTTAATTTAACATTTACATACATCAAAAGCACTATAACACAGTTTATACTGCTTGCATGTGCAAGATAGCTGCAGACAGCAACATTAACTCCCACTGGCCAGGGATGGAATAAACTAATACATGCTGAAACATGCTGAATGAGTAATACAGAGAGAGAGACATTTCTTTCTACATCCTTGCTTCCTAACTTCTACATTCTTGTACAAAAGGTCCTAAAGTCACTAAGTTTTTTCACTGTCTGTCAGACAGTCAGGGTTTCTGCTATGGTTCTGTGACTCTGTTCAATCATTCATACTAGGGTTAGAGGTCACACAACACAAGTTGAATAGCTCCTCTTTGATTTTGCTAGGCCATTTTACCATGAAGTCACTGAATGTATGCGTGTCTGTGTGTGAATGGCTTTGGTCGGCGGTCAGTCCATTCTTTTTAAATGTAACGGCTTCAAATTCTCCCATGGTGGTCAGGGTAATAGCGCTGTACTTTAAAAAATTTTTTCTCTTTTTTTGTAGGTAAGGTAAAGTGGCTTAGAAGAATGGATGTTTCTCTTATTTTTCTTTTACTATTTGCTAAAGTACTTTTGGAATAGCGGGAAGAGTTCCACATGTTCAGTGTTCCTCAGCAGTACTTGCTGAGCACAACATTGTAAATGAGTGTAACCCAGAAAAGACATTTCTTTGAGGTTAATGAAAATGACACCATAGTGTAAAGAATATTTAAACATCAAATTCCTCAAATGATGAAAGAATAGTCATATTTCTCCATTTATAAAGGCAATACTGCCTAGATTCGCAGAAGCAGCCACACATCTATCAACCACCCTTGCATCACTTTTAAATCATCCAGTCCATACTATACCCAGCTGATAGCTGACTTCTAGGGCAATACTGAAATGAATATTTGACAGTTTCTTTTTTAAAAATCATTAAAAATATATAATTATAATCAACTTTGTGATCTAATTTGAAAAGTCTAAAAGTCACAGTTTCTGCTTGGCAGTTCTGTGCTTTAGCTTTGCAAGAAAACTAATTGATATAGTTAGGTCTGCAAGTATTTGGACAATGACACTGTTTATGTAAATTTGCACAGTGGATTTGATTTTGTGGCAACTGTGTGCTATTGCAACAGATTAAAAATTTTAGGTTGCGGTCCATTTGAAATAAGCCATTGCATAACTGCTTTGATCTAACCTGGGTCACATTTGACAGCTGGAGCTAAACATCTAAGTACTTTAACTCCATGTCTGTTTGTGTGTGCTGCACATTAAGCAAAATGTTGTAGATCCTCAACAATGTTAAACAATGAAAAGCAAAGCAGATTTAAAGCATTATTTCAACAGAGATGTCCCTTTGCATCAGTCATTCAGTCTCCAGCAGCAGAGAGCTTTCTGCCATAAATTGAGGCTAAGTAGATGCAGTAAATAGTAATCATTCACATCAACAGTGGCTGTTGTTGTTTCCCTCTGCCAAGCAACATTCATTAGGCTGCTGCCTCCTTTCAACCCAGGAGTGGCAGATTAATGGGATGAAGGTTTAGAAAAGAGACAGGGATTGACATTGAGAGGAGAGAGTGCTCGGGAGCAGATTTTTGTGTTTGTTACACTCTTGCATTACTTAGGAGACACCAAATGTAATTGGTCACACCAAAGGCAAGCAGCAAATAGAGACAGCCAGGCAGAGATGTGGGTGAACTAGAAATATGATGGTTCTTACATAAATGCACATTTTCGTCTGTAGAACCATCCCCATCCTGTGTCGCTATTGCAAAAGATGTACTGTATGAGTCTGGGGATACGACAACATTTCTCTTAATGAATAACTTTTGTGCAAAAGTCTTGAGCCACCATTTCTTTCTGTTTGCTTCCAAGGAGGCAGAGCAACATCTCCAGGCTTTATTCAAGCCCAAACAGGCATCAGGGGAAGAAGCAGTGTTGTGACTAGACATAACAGACAAATTAGCAAAAAACAATTTTGAATTGTATCTTTAGGCACTTTGTCACTATCAGCCTGTCACAAAAACTCATTTCCCTCATTTCATTTGTTTAAACTCTGAAAAATGCCAACCAGTTTAACGGGCAGAAAATGGTATTTATGCACCAATAAGGTGATTCGCAAAAAAAACTATTACCTGAAAATTTGGTGTGACTCGATGATGTACAGTTTGTCCTAAAAAAAACTGAGGAAAGTAAAGAACAAAAGAAGTGGTAGGCCAAAAAAAACAACAACAAATAGGACACACAGGACCTGAGAGATGCATCTGTCTTCCCAGTTGATTCCCCTGCTGTTCACTGAAACAGTCTCATCATGGGTTTTATGTAGTGGTGAAAGCAAATTTTAAATCTTTGCTTCAGATCATCATCAGCATGTGCAACTAGTGCTACAACTAGCGATGTCGGGGATCTTATCAAAACTGAAAACAGAAGAGTACCATCAGACATTGATTGACCCTCTATGCAGTATCAAGTGGAAAGCATCTGATTGGCTTCATTTTTCAGCATGAGATTGATCCCAAATGCCCTGCCAATACACTGAAAGCATACCTGGATAGAGACTCTGTCACTTATGGACTGGCCTCTTCAGAGCTCGGACCTCAACATTATTGAAGCAGCATGGCTAAAACATCTTGACTGGAACAAAAGACAGCCAACATCCAAAGAAGAGCTTTGAATCTTCTTCAGAATGCCAGGAAAACTATTCTTGAAGACTACTTAAAGAAATTACAAGAAAGCTTGCATAAGAGACTTCAAAATCTGTTGAAGAATAACGGTGGCCATACCAAACATTGACTTTCAAGCTTGCTGGAATTACACAAACAAAGAGAGAGAGTGAGCCTTTAAAATAACAACTGACCAGTTTCTTTCTGTCTTTTCAGGAGGTCCACTGTATAGACACATCCCTGATGGACCCTGCCAGTAACATTACAACTTTAGTGGGGCCCAACGCCTTTCGGATTCCTTTATCCATCAGACAGAAGTTGTGTGGAAGCCTGGATGCACCACAGACCAGAGGCAATGACTGGAGGATGCTGGCCCACAAACTCAACCTTGACAGGTGACACTTGGCATTTGTTTTATGGATGCTTCTCTTAGTTGTTTTACTTGATTTGAGTCCTCATTCAGGCTTAATAATAGCCTGTTTCATCTCTTCACCAGAAGAAAATCACAGAGAATCACTTGTTGCACTTCAGTAGAAATTAACTGATCAAGTCCTTGAACACCTTTCAGTATTTTGAAACTGCATCTCTTCAGAATCTCTCTTGGGCAAAGCAGCACTGCTGGACTCCTGATTAGTAAATTAAAAGGACATTTCCTCTTTGGATTTAACTCACAGGTAACATCCGCAGAAACTCTGTGTGCAGATGTGTGTCCTAATGATTTAGACTGGAGGTTCGTTTACCAGCAGCTACCGAAGCATAGCCAGATATTGAGAGGATAATTGGGCACAAGTGCACATCATTGTCCCAGCAGGCAGCCAGCTCATGAAGCAGTGTGTTGATGTGGGCACCAAATATTCCTCATCAGTGGGCGAAAAAGCTAGCCAAATTGTTGTTTACTTCCACATTTCCACTTAAAAAGGTACTCTTCAAAAGGACCACGATGAAAAGGTCTAACAAAGGGGTATCATCTTCTCTCCCCTCTGCTCTAGTGGCTGCTACGTCATTTCCATTTTACTTCTTAGTGTTACTCACGATCTGCGGTCACAGTCCTTATTCCTTACATAACCTTTTCATGTATATATAAATGATGAGACCTCAAATGTACCCACTCTGGCACATGCAGAAACACTCAGAAAGTTTAGGAGTTTTGATCCAATGCAGTGAAATGGCTTTAAAACAAATGCTGGAAACTCACACAAAAAAGAAAAGGCCAATCTTAGCTGTCGAGTTCATTTAACAGCAGGATACTCCTTATCGCATACTGCAGGCAGATGGAGTCTGACGCAGAACATGAAACAAAGGGAAACAAAGTTGGAGAGAAAGTAATAGGAATTTATTTATTAGACGTTTTGAACGAGAGAACTGTGAAAAATTAAGAAAGTCTATAAGGAGAGAAACCGATGATTAAAATGAGGAGTATGGGGATGAAGGGATGTTTGTGGTTGCATTTAAACAGCACCAAAGCTCGCCAGAGTATGCCAACAGTACAATCACAGGATTTACAGAAGAACAAAAAGCTTCGGTTTTACCCCGTGAAGCTCAATCTCTGGCTTTTGCACTTTAAAGAAGAAATTGAGATTTTTGTCACAGATGTCTCAGACTTTTCCTCTGCAGCCACTGTGTACTTTGACTCGCCACGGTTTAGTTCTAATGCAATAACATTTTCTTCCCCCACATTTGTCTAAAATATTTTGAAGTGAACATAGGTAATAAAAATGTCCAAAAAAAAAGGAAATTAACCTGTCAAATTTCATTTATGCTTCCTTACACCACAGCTAATAGCAAATGGTATACTATAGAGGACCCGATAAAGTGTATTTCTTTATAGTAAGTTCTTCTGTCTGTGCTGCTTTATTGTGCGATAGTCTCAAGTCTTGAAGAGGGAAATAATTCATCACCTTGTTAAATAGAAGTTTCAGAATGTTTTATATTATATGTTATGCACTTAGAATTTCACATTCAAAAGCTTTTTTTTTTTCATCACACATCCCACATGGGCGGATAAAATAATCAGCATCAATCATTACATATTATGCATTCACAATGTGAATCATGGAAAATGGTTCAGCTAGAGAAAAATGGTCGTTCCATATTTTTTTTAGTTATTTTTTTTACCTCTGTCTAAATATCAAAATTCATACTGACATTAACATCACATTAGATAACATAGGCTTGTTTTACTTTCTCCACATCTTATGTGTGCTTTCTCAATGAGTAGGGTCAAACTGTCTGTACTGAGTGTCCAGCAAGTGTATTTGAAACCCTCCCTGACACATCTTTTAAAGTTTTGGATGAAATCTGTCTTAGCGATTAGACAATAAAGCCATTCACGTCACACTGCTGAGTCATTCACTGCCCATGCTTTTCAGAGAGCAAATTTCAAATATTCCAATTTAATCTTTTAAAAATAATTTGGAATCGGAATTCATCTTTGTCTGTTGCATAATATTGACTTATCTATGCTTTGTCACTCACCCCCTCACTCCTTAATGTTCATTTCAGATACCTGAACTACTTTGCCACCAAGTCCAGTCCAACAGGCGTAATCCTGGATCTCTGGGAGGCCCAACATTTCCCTGATGGAGACCTAAATGAACTGGCCACTGTGCTGGAAGAAATGGGTCGCCACGACAGTAGCCTTGCCTCCATGACAGCGGAACATTGACGAAACACTGCAGTTACCATGACAATGGTAGAGGTCTGGAGATGATTACGCGTGAAGTGTCGATGGTTGATCCTGCAGCGAGGGCAACAAACCAATTAGCAACAGAAAAGTTGCCACTGTGGTGACTGAGCACCGATTAAATACCATGGTAATCATGCCGACATGGTAACAGATAGGAGAGGCACCTTAACTGCTGTGTGCTGGAACTATCTATGTATCTTTGTATGTGTATTTGCGAAATGTTGCAGTGTCGTATGTGACCGAAAGAGAGATAACCCTACCTATCTATCAGGAACACAGAAAAACATACACACGCCTAAAAAAAAAGAAAAAAAAGAAAAAAAAAAAGCTTGTCCATAGTAACACCGGTTGTTCTCTTGTTGTTACTTTAATATTGAACAAGGAGAAGCAAAGAACAAGAAGCAGCAGAGAGGTACTGACCTTGGAAACCTCTGTAGGAATGGAACAGAATCATAAGGGGAAAGAAGGTAAACTGATTACAGAAGAGTGGGAGAAGGTAGAGTGAGGAAACGGAGAGAGTGAGTTAGAGACTCTTAAGAAAGATGGGCGCAAACACAGAGCGAAGCTAAACTGATTACAAAAGAGAGGGAGGACATAAACATAAAATGATGGAAGCGATGGCAGGTGATCATCTGAACGGAAAACAGATAATGAGAGAGGGGGATAAAGAAGTGAATCTTCTCTTGTGAGCCTCGGCTGTACGTGTTTGCCAGTACAGTTTGTCGTCTTTATATCGTTTCTTAGGGAACGCTCTATGAATTCTGCTGTCCATATGTGTGGATCATTTCCTGATACAAGAATGAGTACAAAGTGACTGTCAATCAAGGGTCCTGACCAGAAACAAGCCCGAGACAACAACAACTGGCCCCTTTGGGTTATTATCATAAAGATGGTTCCAATTGGATGTTGATTAAGATTAAGGCTTTTTTCAAAAATACCATCAAAATCTTTCAGGTCAGAGAAAAATGAACACAAAAGCAATTTGACTTGCTTCCAATGCCTCTAATGTTCTTTTCTTCTTTTTTTAATTCAAAAAGCCAGTCCAAAGATAATTATGCTGCTGAAGGATGCAAGAATAACTTCTTATTTTTTTTAATAATCTTTTTTATGGTAAGATTTCAAGATTTCATGTATGATAATCATATGATTATTAGGTAAAGCTCATCATCATGCACAGTACATTGCAGTAAAGCATCTAAGACTTTTATTTTGTTTTTATTTTATCATTGCTTTTTTACATTTTTAAAAATAAATAAATAAATACATTAAAAAAAAAAACACGATCCAGACAGGAAAAACAGGAACGGCAAACTCAAAACTACAAGTGCATCTCAAACCACTGAGAGTCTCAACATAATCTGCACTAATGCTGCTTCTCTATTACTTAACAACCAGCAGTTGACCACAACCTCAAACCCAGAAGTGTCTCTTTTAGACTGTTGGGGCTTCTTTCTGGACAGACGGACAAAGCAAAAAAATAAATAAATAAATGGGGGTGGGGGTGGGGGGGGTGGAAAACATAACTTGATTTGATTGGAGGAATTATATGACAGTGAATTAAATGCAGCTCATCTACTACTAATATACCGATTTTAATCAGTTATATTCAAGTTTCCTTCAGTTGTGTTATCTGCCATCAGGCCACATGTGGCATTTCATTTGTGATCGTCGCCATGACTTTGCTGGTCACTAGCACCATCCAGTGGCCTTTGATAAATAAGAGCATTTTAAGTGTTTTCATTTTTATTTTATTTTGATTGTGTAAATACATGCTTATCATTATGTTCATTCTAAAGAGCTTTTATTACCACGTATTTTTGTTCATTGTTCATTATTTACATAAACTTTTTTTTGCCAGCTTTATTGTGTTTATATGTGTGACATTTATGAGGGGAATCTGCATCAGTTACTTAGCAGCTAACATTCCAGTCATGGTGTATCTATGACAAAGTTACAATTTACAGGTAAAAATCATATAAAGGGAGTTATGTAACATGAAGTGTAATATATTTGTGTTTGCAAAACAAGTTGCATAATTACAATTGGCCCTGAGAGGGGAAAAATTCAAAAACTGGAGTTAGGTATTTCCGTTTTGAATTATGGAGAGACGCCATATGAAACTGAACATCAGGTATGTAGAGGAGACAAAAAGGGAGGCAGAGGTCAAGTTTAACACTGGTACAAAAGGTCAAGTATTTACCTTGGGTCATGAGAGATTTTATCTTATAGCTGCCCGCTCAGGAGGAAACCTTGAGATATTGATTTTTCACAAAGATTTTCCTTTCTTTGTACAGTTGTTCAAATATGTGCGACTTTAAGATTCAGACCTCTTGTATCAGTGTAAAACCAGCTGTAAAAGTACGCGCGGTTTGATTTTGCGTAGCTCACAGCAGGAAAGGTGTACGGTTAACTGACAGACTGGATGTTTTCAAATGTAATTGGTGATGTCATATGTGAGGAAGTAAAAGGGGTGGGAAACCTTATGAGGATAAAAGCCTAAAATATTTTAGTCATCAGCTGAAACAAACATGAACCCAAAGGTCATGACAATGCCTCTTTTATACAATTTGATCATCGACATCACTGACAACTTTAAAGGCTGAATTCAGTCATACAACATCTATTTTTTTGAACTACGACATTAGGAATTGTTTAAAAAAAAATGAAAATAGCATAGCTCCACCTCAGATTTGAAGTGTACAGTTTACCAGAAGAATCGATTTTCTGTTAAAAAAGCAAAAGCGAGACAAGGGAGGTTTTCATGAGGAGAGCACGTGTAGGCCTCCAGGAGATGATCCTTCATGATGTGAAAATGAAGAAAGTAGTATTAAGATATCTAAGTATGTAAAAAAAAAAAATAATATTTTCTATTTCCAGTGTGTACAGTTGTGTACTGTCAGCTATATTTGGCAAATTTCTGAATATGAAAAAGCAGTACAGTTAATAGTTTGTATGTTTGATTTTTTTAATTTAAGTTTTTTCTTTTGTTCCTTTTTTGTAAAAGCAGTGTCTACTATGCAAACTTGGCATTGGTTATCATGATAGAAGTCTTTATCTAGAGCTGTCCTTGTACGTGCACTCCTGGTTTTACTATCGGGAGTGATTTGATTTGATTAGTGTGGGATAGTGTTGGTCCATTTTAGCTAGTTCTGGCACGCTTCATGAGTCTTGCTCAATCTTGCTGAATGCTTGCCTCTCTATCTCCTCTAATTGTTCTCTGTACAAAGTGTAAGAAAGAATTTTTAAGACAATTAATAAATTATATTTATAAGCAATGCTGAAAACCTGTGCTGCATTTGGTGGCTTATTTCAACACAACTTTTACTTGCGTGTAATATCCCAACTTGGTCAGAAATCCGATTTGTAGCGCATGAAAAAAGATATTTTTCATTTCCGATACTTATTTTTCTTATGATTTCTGTGAAATTCACATTTACATGCTCCAGACTCAATAATTTGTGGGATAAAGAAGCCTGAAGGGGAGGAAATTGAAACGGAAAATCCTTATGGTGTCACTATTTAACATGCTGTGTGCTCAGCAGCACCAGTGGGTTGTAATGAGGCATGCTGCTTTTTTCTTTTTTTTTTCCAACAAAGAAAATATGGAGCGTGTGTCTTAACAGTAAGAGGCAATGACTTGTTAGTATTCACCTCATTCAGTTATCACAAATTGAACATCAGCCATTTGGATGAGTGAAACACTTTATTGGGGGGGGAATGTTCAACCTTTTACTGAATAAAAACACGACTTTCTCTCACGGACAACTACAGCAGATACAGATCAAATAAGGCACAACACCCAAGAGGAAAGAAAGGGCATTTACTGTATATCACAACAAATCTGCCACACCAAAACCTCCATCCACAAGAAAAACGCTGTCGTTTTGTTGACAAGAGCAAGATTGAAATTCAGTGACCTCTGAAGGAAATGGAAATGGAAACTGAGGAATTATGAAAGCTAAAAAATAAAATAAAATAAGCCAGTCAGAGAAGTCACTGATGTCGTGACAGCACACCACTGTGGATGATCTAACAAGGCCCCTAACTGTGATAACTTTTTACCTGGAGAAATATGACATCATGAAGTTTCCCAACAGTGGAATGTTTCTATGTGAGAGTTTGAGTTAATGGAGGAACTTGCCTAATAGAAACTGACTTGATCAGTGCCAAAGTGCCATTTGCGTTCAACAGAACTGGTTTATTATACTGAAATAGTTTAACACTAATGTACATGTATAAGGGCGGCTTGTAAGTAGGAACTAAAAATTTCATAAAGTCAACAAGTTAACTTCTTGTGGTTTAAGTGCGCCCCAGGGTGGCTGTGGCTACAATGTAGCTGCCATCACCAGTGTGTGAATGTGTGTGTGAATGGGTGGATGACTGGATATGTAAAGCGCTTTGGGGTCCTTAGGGACTAGAAAAGCGCTATATAAATACAGGCCATTTACCATTTAATATTTTGGGTGAGGCTTGGGTGCTTTCTTGAACCAGCCAACTTCTTAGTGCACTCTTTCACTATAAGGGCATACTGCTAAACCCACTGCTTTAAATACACTCCATCTTTTTGTTACGGGAGCCACAGTCATTGGGAATTAGTGAATAATAACAATGAGCCGTGACATGGCAACTTTTGGCACCCCTAAACTAACAAAAATCCACACATTTATAATGGATCACTAGATAATCAAGCAAAACTTCACCTTACAGTTTGTGTGAAGCAGTTCCAGATTGTGTGATAGGCCTTCCTTCCTGTACTTGCTCTACAGTGGCTATGGGGGGCACTGCTCTGCTTTAACCATTCCACTGGTGAAACGCCGCCTCTTCCGAGGCAGGTTTTATTTTTAATACATGTCCCAAAGAAGCCTAAAGAAACACAGAGGTCATTAGAGCCCCAATCTAGATTTATTTATACATATTAACTTATTTATTATTATTACGTTGTTTTTTTTGTTTTTACAAATTACCTTAAAGTTGTACATGGAAAACGTTTGGTATTCTCATTAGCTCACAAAACAAATTTACCTTTTCTTCAGTGTCTACAAATGGTATCACCACAATCGAAACGTGTACACCTTCAAAATATGTTTATTTCCGTCACAGTGTCACTTGTCATAACAAAGAGCAATTTAAAGCTATTTAAAAGTGACAAAAGTGTATTCAATCCAAGGAAGTGTTTAGAAAGGAGGTGTAATGCTGCAATAACAGATTGCCTTGACGCACATCCCTTCGGTTCTTTTAATCAGACCTTCATCTACGGGTAAGGTAGCTTTCACAGAAAGCAATCATATAGTCTTCCACTCTCTGGTCAGTAGCCTGTTTGTGTATCTCAGCATGTACAGTGCCAAGTCAAACTCAAGTCTCTTTCTCCAAGGCCTTTGGAGCATGTGAACAGGAACCTATATCTGGCTTTAGAGTCTTCACACTAGTCGGAAATGTAATTTGTCTCATCTTCTTTGAAGAACAGAAGAGGACCATGCACAGTTAGTTCTGATTGTTTTTGAGGGGACTTTACAGATTTCTCAGCATTTGAACTCAAAGTATGTCATCATGGGATCCCCCAAGTGATCTTCTGCTTCATGTTCCCCCTCCTTTCCCCCCCAAAAAACAAACAAACAAACAAACAAAAAACCCCCAGCTTGTACGGCCTGGAATAGAGCCAGTGTTAGTACCTGCCTTTTGTATGCGTGTAAACACACACCAGGCAGTGCTTTCTCACAGCTTGATATCCTGTGATTCTGACATTTTGGCAAGTGTCTTTTTGACCCGTAGGGCTGTGAGGCGGCAGGCTGGATTGTGGGCCCAGCATTCTGTCATCAGCTTTCCCATCTGTCTCAAACACTGAGGAAACACAAACTTATGTTACAGAGATTGCCGATTTGTTCGTTTCTGCAAGAGTAATGTCGAATATTTTTCCATGTTTTACCTCATCGCTGGTCCATCGATTAGGAAAGGATGGTCGTAGCTTCTTGATGCAGACCACCTCTCTCATGTCTTCATATGAAGGGTCTGTTGGAACCAGCTCATGGTACGGTAACTGGTACTCTTCAAGGATTCCTACAATAAACACGTTACAGAAGAGTCACATTCCTCTCTGACGCCGTTTAGCTTTTAGAAGGTGCTACAACTATTTATTCACTCCATTTACCTCCTGAGATGCAGCGACGTGCAATCTCCCAGAGAATGAGCCCAAAACTGTACATGTCAGCCATGATGTAAGACTGAAAGTGACTTCTGTTCAAAGTCTCTTCCAGAACCTCTGGAGGCATGTAGCGCTTTGTACCGACTCTTGTATTGGGGGGAATATCTACTTCATTTGTGTCACTAAAGAGTCAGAGTTCTAAGTAATAAGGACAAAAATTACTTTAAATACATGAATTCCAATATTTCTCATCATTCATCCTAAATAGAAGACATTCATGAGAAATTCACCTGATAAACTTGACAGCCAGTCCTAGGTCAGCTATACAGCAGGTCCCATTTCTTTTCACAAGTATGTTCTTACTCTTCAGATCCCTGTGAGCAATGGCAGGTTTGCCCTGGGTGCCAAAGATCTCTGTGTGGAGGTGACAGAGTCCTGACACAGAGGAGTAGGCCAGTCGCAGCATAGCTTTATTGTCTAGAGTGGTCGATTTGAGGTAGTCATACAATGATCCATTTTCATGGTAGTCAGTTATTAAGTAGAG